CCCCCCCCCCCCAACGGAGAGCAAAATGTCAAATTTAAAAATTTCGTGACCAAAAATAAAAATAAAAAAAAGTGTTTACCCCCCCCCCCCCCCCCCCGCTTATTCAGCGGCTGGCTGAGTCGTTGCGATTTTTTGGGGACTAAAAAAAAAAATATATATATATATATATATATATATGTTCTCTTTCACACACGGTGCCCCCCCCCCCCCCCCCCCCCCGGCAAGAAATTCCTGGATCCGCGCCTGCTTTTTGTTAAATCTAATCTCTTTTTTTTTTTTCTCTTATCTTGTTTTTATTTAAAGGTTGTTCTATAGAAGGTTTTGATCATCCTGATTCGTTCAGGTTATATAGAGGATCGTGAAAGTATTATTAATTTGTTGTTCTTTTAAATACATATGCATGTATAATTTTTTTCAATGACAAATATATTAGGGATGCTGAATTGGAATGATGTAGGAGTAGTACTCAGTGAGTAGTAGTTATATTATTAATATTAATTATAATGATATCAGTATTGATATCAATGATAATATTGATATTGATAATAATAATGATAATGATGATAGCAATACTCATAATAATGATAATAGTAGTAATAACAACATCTTCAATAGTTTCTGATATAGAAACAAAAATCAAAAATAAACTATATAGCTGTGCTTTAGATTATAGTGACATAGCACGTTAATAATTGAATTAATGATATGGATTTTATTTCTAGATAGGCCTATTTAAATTTCTTTCAATATTTTACAATTGAAAAAGTTGTGTTCAATAGACAGCAAGCCACCTCGCCCCTAATTTATTTGTTGCCTTTATTTTGTTGATGTAATATTTTGGTATGTTGCATTTGAAAAGATCATTATTTCAATTTCATGTTGATAAATGAGTTCATTAATGTTGATAAAATTACTTGATACTGCTCAATTCTTTTCTTTTCATTTTCTTATTGTGTAAAAGATATGTAATGATGATGGTGATCATGATGATGTAGGCACAAGATGTGTACTCTGTGAAGGGTTCTAGGATAATTTCCCCCTGGGCAGTCACCCCCCGGAAAATAACCCCCCAGAAAACTACTACTATTTTCGTGAGGTGGGGGGGGGGTTATTTTCCGGGGGTAATTGTCCTCGGGGCGTTATTTTCCGGGGGTAATTTTCCAGAGGGTAATTGTCCTCGGGTGGTAATTGTCCTCGGGGGGGGGGGGGTTCCGGGGGTATGTCCTTGGGGGTAGTTTTCCGGCGGTTAATTTTCCGGGGGGTGATTGCCCAGGGGGTAATTGTCCTGATTCGCTGTAAAAACAATGCTGTAAGGCTAATGTGATGGTGCTGATGCAGGCCTTAAATTTCAGTATTTTTAGGGCAAGGCCACTTTTCTGTAGGGCACATCCCTATATTACAGCACAAATAGGAAGAATTGGAAAGGGCACACAAAATCTCCAAGGCCAATGAGAGGGGCATTGAGGCCAATCAAAGGGGCATCCACGGCCATGGCCTTGGTGGCCTTGGATTAATTTAAGCCCTGCTGATGCAGTACATTATATTCAGGATGGATAGTTGGTGTTTGACCTTGTGATTTTTTTGTATAGATCTAGCAGCAGCCAGATAGAATTAATCATCTTTACTAATGAGACAGAAGGGGAAACGTAATAAGAGTTGGCAGGGCAAACATAGAAATGCAATTAAAAAAAGGGAAAAAAGGGTCTACAGTGGAGAAGGGGGGGGGGGCAAAGTTGAATTAAGAATATAAGACAGTGCCAAAAAGACAGCTTTGGGAATGGTGGTAAAGGCCGGGGGGTTGATATATGGCCTATGGGAATTTCAGCATTGGAAGAGGGAACTGGATTGTAAATATTACTGTCGTGGGGGAGGGGAAAAATGTCAAAATCAAAATCAAAGGCGTCCAATGCAAAAATGAAAAGAAACACGAAATGGAAATTTCATGGGGGAATTAGGGGTAAAAAATGAAAAATTAATGAAAACACTTAAGGCGAGAATGATTATAATTATTTGGGCACTACACATAACGAAAATGGCATGATCTGAGAAATTTAATTGATAATAATTGATTTTAAAAATGGCCTTGTGTTGTGATGTCACTGAAATTTGTTTATGTAATTTCACCCTGGTGACAGTGAAGTTTCTGGCCGTAATGTTTCCCCTTTATGATGTTTATGATGGTGATGATGGTGATGATGGTGATAATAAGGCATGCATGATAATAGATGGTGATGATGATTGATAGGATTGTGATTATGATTTTGATCCAGTTTGATTATGATTGACGGTCTCTCCCTCTCTCTCTCTCTCTCTCTGGCGCGGATCCAGGATTTCTGGAGGGGGGCCCAAATTAGAAATTATGCGAGGCAAATATTGGTACGTAATGGTGACACCGGCAGTGGCAAAAACTTTTTTTTTCACCCCTCTTACATGCAGGCCCCGCTGAACGTTTCTAGGCGGGGGTCAAGGGGTTTGAGCCCCCAGAAGCTCAGGGGGTATAGGCATTTAACTGTCAGATGAGCATATTTGGATACCTTATTTAATTTGTGACACTGGCAGGACACAAATTGGTGTGGGGTCCAGGGGGCAGAGCCCCCAGAAGCTCATGGGTTTTATACATTAAATTATCGTCAGATGAGCAGATTTTGATACCTTATTTGTGACACTAGCAAGTCACGAATAATATGACGTGGGGTCCAGGGGTTTGGGGCAATTCATTACGGTCAGATGAGCATATTTTTATACCTTATTTGTGACACTGGCAGGACACAAATTGGTGTTGGGTCCAGGGGGCGGAGCCCCCAGAAGGTCAGGGGTTTTATAAATTAAATGATCGTCAGATGAGCATATTTTGATACCTTATTTGTGACACTGCCAGGACACAAATCGGTGTTGGGTCTAGGGGCAGAGCCCCCAGAAGGTCAGGGGTTTTATAGATTAAATTATTGTCAGATAAGCATGTTTTTATACCTTATTTGTGACACTGGCTGGTCACGAATTGACCTGGGGTCCAGGGGGCGAAGGCCCCGGAGCTTAGGGGTTTGGGGCAATACATTACGAACAGATGAGCATATTTTGATACCTTATTTATACACTGGTAGGACACATATTGGTTTTGGGTCCAGGGGGCATAGCCCCAGAAGCTCATGGGTTTTATACATTAAATTATCGTCAGATGAGCATATTTTGATACCTTATTTGTGACACTGCCAGGACACAAATCGGTGTTGGGTCTAGGGGCAGAGCCCCCAGAAGGTCAGGGGTTTTATAGATTAAATTATTGTCAGATAAGCATATTTTTATACCTTATTTGTGACCCTGGTTGGTCACAAATTGACGTTGGGTCCAGGGGGCGAAGCCCCCTGAAGCTCAGGGGTTTTGGGCAATACATAACGGTTAGATGAGCCTATTTTGATAATTTATTAATTTGTGACACTGGCAGGACACAAATTGGTGTGGGGTCCAGGGAGCAAAGCCCCCAGAAGCTCAGGGGTTTTGGGCAATATACGTTTAGATGAGCATATTTTGATAACTTATTAATTTGTGACACTTGCAGGACACAAATTGGTGTGAGGTCCAGAGGGCAGAGCCCCCAGAAGGTCAGGGGTTTTATACATTAAATAATCTTCAGATAAGCATATTTTTATACCTTATTTGTGACACTGGGAGGTCAAGAATTGGCCTGGGGTCTAGGTGCGGAGTTTGGGAAGCTCATGGGTTTTAGGCATTTTATAACGGTCAGACAAACATGACGAGCCCGCCCTAGGGCCCCTGGTGGGGTCGAGGGGGTGGAGCCCCGTAAACTTAGGGGTTTTAGGCATTTAATTACGGTCAGATGAGTATATTTTGATACCTTATTTGTGGCTCTGGTAGGACATTAATTGGCGTGAGGTTCAGGGGGCGTAGACCCCAGAAGCTCAGACGTTTTAGACATTTAATTACGGTCAGATGAGTATATTTTAAAACCTTATTTGTGGCACTGGTAGGTCACTAATTGGTGTGGGGTCCAGGAGCCGTGGAGCCCCCAGAAGATCAGGGTTTTTTTTCCGTCAGATGGGCATCCAGGTGCCTGACTTTGGGCCCTAGGTGAAATCCAGGGGCAGAGTCCCCGGAAGCTCAGGGGTTTTAGGCATTAAATCACGATCAGGTGAGCACATTTTTTGTTGCTGCTTTCTTTAGCACACACACAAAACAAAAACAAATCTTTAGAATACCCAACCAACAGGGTTAATGTACATAAACGTCAGAGACCTAGGGTTAGGATTAAGCTTAAGTCTCGAGATTTAGCTTCATTGGTGAAGTTTTCGGTACCCTACGAACATTTTGTCAATCCCTTTTTTTGTGTGTGTGTCCTAGGGGGGGGGGGCGGCCCCCTGGATCCGGCACTGCTACCTATCCCCCTTTATGTCTCTCCCACCCATACCTGATCTATCCCTTTGTCTCCTTTTTATGTCGTCGTTGAAAAATGTAAACAAAAATGCCGCGGCGTATACGCGTAGCGCTAGCGCAGATGGCGCTTCGAATGTAAACAACAAAGTTCATTGTGTCAAAGGTGACCGTTATTCGTTGTCCGTGCGCAATTATGCATGCGCTAGCTAGCTACACACGTAGTACGTAGGCGTGATCATCTCCAGCAAACCTGTGTCTCGAGTCTAGTCGAGTGTTGTAGTAAGGCTGAGCTGAGCTGAGCTGATGTTTAATCCTGATTCTTGTCGCTTGAAGTTCAACCATTAATTTTAGCTGATTTGTGTATCATACTCCTTAGTTTGCGAAAATAGAGGAAGGAATTTTTATTAACTTTTTATGTGAATTTGCGTGGAATGGAAGTCTTGATGAAGAACCGGCTGTAGACCTATTCATCATGTGAGGTGATGCATCTGCAGCAGTTTCATTCTGAAGAATCTAGATCTAGCCCTAGGTCTAGATCTACAGGATTTTACCTACATAGTTCTACATCGGGACAAAACAATTTGACTGAAATAGTGAAGTGTGTTACAAAACAATTTGACTGAAATAGTGAAGTGTGTTTGAATGAGGAAATCAGTCCACCACAGTGTACAGCCATGTTGCTGTAGTGTTAGTAGAGAGGGACTAAAACAAGTGCTAAAATGGAAGTGGAACAACAATGGGATGCAAGGGAACAAGTCTTTCATGATGCAGTTAGAGAATATTTGGTAAGGAAAGTAGAGAGTCTAGAAATTTGAAAATAAATTCTTATTATCATCAGTGTCACTAGTATCAGTATCACTAATCAAAATCATTGTCATTGAACTGAATGTTGTTGAAGTGTGTGAAAATGAAGTGAACTTTTATTAACTTGGTTAATATTGAATTGAAGCAGTCGCATGGATTTGCCGCTAGAATGGCTAGATCAGTATCTTCTTACATTATTTGTAGGTCTATTTGTAATTCTATATTATGGGAGTTGTGTGTCCGCCGTCCGGACACTTGATAAAAATATTTATGAAATATGGCTTGTAATTTCTTCAAATTATTGTTCATTATCTCATTTCTGGACACACACACACAACAGGTGATTATATGATGGGGTGTTGGGTGTCCGAACAGTAAGACTGCAATTTTGCCTTGGTATCTGATTTTATAACAGAAAATATTCATCAAAAAGTCCTAACCATCATTAATATTTGTCCTTTTATATATTATATTGTCAAACTTAAGTCGTGGAAGATTTATAAAATATACATGAAGCTTGTAAACTCCTTCAAATTGATGTTTTAAATCAACTGTCAGGATACACTGCATATGAAGTCTTTTCAATGCTTGCAGAAACCATGGACCATACATGATGTACATGACCATATGGCCTTACACATGTTATATATATGGCTGGACAGCTTGTTTTTACTTCTTTAAATGTGCTGACGATAGCAATATCATGAAAAAAATATTCATACTAGAACTCATTTTGGCTAGAGTTCCAATCATGTATGATGATGTACATGTACCCCCACTAAAATTAAAGAAAAAAAATATAGATATGACTTTGGGCTGCGTCTCACGAAACCGTCATAGATTATAACTCATAAGTACAAGTTGAGCGACATCCCATTGAAATGCGTGTATTAGTTTAACACTCATTTCAATGGGACGTCGCTCAACTTGTACTTATGACGGTTTTGTGAGACGCAGCCAAGAGTGATATACCTCCGAGTGATATACCTAATCATAATACTGGGTTTAATAAGGGTTAGGGTTTTAGAATGTAGGCTAGAGCTATAACATAGATCAATTTCAGCAGGGGTATATATATGGAACTCTTTCCCTAATTTTCACTAGATCATAGATGGATATTTGTATTGTAATAAATTACAAAGGCAACAACATAAATATTTGTGAAGTATCAGAACACTTGTTGTAGTGTACTACTACAAAAAACAGGGTTGAGTGCAATATTTTATATTTATGATATTTATAGAATTGTGGCCAAGTATAGTAGTACTTGTATACCATTGGTCATGTAGTCAGGATAACCGCAAAAATAAAACATACTATTGATAATAAGCGATATTAGAATACGATTTGACACATCCCTCAAGCAACATTTCATAAAGAATTATTAGATTGGATGTCAAGATTGCTGCTTTCTGGTATGTAGACAGAAAAATATGTCTGGTTTGAGGAGTGTTAAACATCTTTTGACTTTGGAGGTTCTTGGTGAAGCCAGACGTAGTCTCAGCAGAACATGTCCCTGCTACATTTGATGAAATACATACATGTACAGACTGGATCTAAGAATGCCTGTACAGCACAGCAGAGATACCGATACTGGTATTGTTTGTGGACAATCATAGGTTTCTCTAAAGGTGTGAAACACTGCATAGGATCTGAAGGCCACATCGCACAAAAGCACAGACAGGAAGTGATTGCCATGGCGACTGTGACATCATAGAGAACATTTGCATGCAAATAGCACATGTTTACACAGAGTCATTAGAAAATCTGAAATAATCTCATTGCTGTGCTGTAGGTATGTGTTCTTAGATCCAGTCTTATTTTCATGACATATGTGTAGCAGATCATATCATTTAATTATTTAGAGATTGAATTATCAAGACATTTGGGCAATAGTTTCTAAAGATCCTTTTGAAATTATTTGGAGTTTGCATAGAAGAAGATAATACAGATATTGCATCATTAATTGTATGGAACAGATGTTGAGAGTTGAGAGTGAGAAAACTCCATTCACAAAGAGTTTGTTACGTAAGCCAGAAACTTTGCGGTGAAAGCAAGTTCAAGGTCAGAAACTCAGAATATTGTATGAGCTTTTTTTATTGTATGGTTTTGTGTCGTCAGAATGGTAACTTCATATAAATGAAGGCATTCTGAAGGAGAATGACTGTTGTCCCAATTAAAGATAATGTAATGTAATAGTGTAATGCACATGAGTTTAACATACAGAAACTGCATGTTATTCATGTTATATTTAGGTACTAAGATAAGTCCTCATTGGTATCCGAATTTTCACTACCGGTACTATTATTTTCTTAATCCTATTCTAAAGTGTATTGTTGAGACTTGAAATATTGAATTAACTCTATTGTCAACATGATCACTCAGAGCAATTCATCCATTCTCCAACTGTGCACGTAAATTATATGTAGCTCTTGTATTTTACAATGTGTCAAGTTTTTTTATTTACATCATTGTGTTATGTTATTTTTCCACAGATTGACTTTCTGTTTTTTACCATATTGTACCTGTCATCGTATGCAGTGATATGTCGATACAAGCGACGAACTGATAGAGAGGATTTGTACTCTGGTAGGTGCTACTTCCTTTTTTATTCAATTTTTCGAGGATAACAATAATCATCAAGGCCAAAGTCATGTTTTCTTTCATGATATATAAAATAAATCATGAGTTATAGGATGCATACATGTAGTTCAAAACTGATGTGATTCCTGTGGATTTTGAATTTCAAACCTTATAGAGTTCTATAAAGTGAATGTAATCAATATTCAGTTTGGTTTGTCTCTAAGCCTGAGTTACATAATAAATGATGATAATGCACAACATTTCTGTAGTGCTTAAATTTGTTTTTAAGTACAACAGTGGTGATTCTAAGTGGTCAAATAACTTTTCACACACAAAACGAAAGGGAAGCCTTTTCCGTGTAATATCTTTATTGTCAGCGAGATGTGGAAGATGTCACAATAAGTATCAGTACAGTGTATAACACTCAATAGGTTTTTTGTTTTAATTTTCACTGGAACCAAGTTGGTCTTAATAGCAAGCAAATAATTACTGTAGGGGAAGGTGATAGTTTGCTATCGCCTGAAACCAAAAGGTGATTATTTGCCTTTTATTCCACATCAGAAACATTTCACTTCTTGTGTCATTTTAGAGCAACAGATCATCAATTAACAGCTAGCAAACAGTGTACGATACGTACAGTGCATGCAGTACTTACGTACGTAATTTTATGCAATTAAAGTGTGTTGCACTGTGTAGATGGTACTACTACAGATCTACATGTACACAGTGCAACACACTTTCACTGAAGATGTACACACTTACAGTACACAGTGTAACAAACTTTTCTTCTCCCATCAATGATGGGCGAACTATCTATCATCACGTGATTTACTTTTGACCAATCATAGCGCAATATTCTTTGTATTAGGAATATAATGAATGATGTTTTATGATACTTGTTATTCACAGCTGATGCAGAGGATGCTATGGTTTACAGCATTGCTCTATGGCTCTGTACCTTTACAATGGCTGTATCAGTTGGGACTGTTCTACTACTCCCTCTCTCTATCATCAGTAATGAAGTTCTCCTATGGAACCCTAAGAGCTTCTACATCCAGTGGCTGAATGGCTCTCTTATTCATGGTAAATACACTAATCAAGTAAACATACACTGGCTATTCAATAACATTATTATTCCAACATCTATATGTGTCTCAATTCTCGCTACCCCAAATAGCGATTCTGCCGAGATCCGGGGAAAATCCTGAAAACGTGCATTGCATTATGGGATAGCTTTTCGACATTACAGCTTCCTGTGCAGGCGCTATATTACTAGGCGCGATAGCGCAAACGTAAAACGCCGTCGCCACACAACGTGTATGCACTGAATATGTCGTCTGCTCGGTCTTGTTTTTTTTTCGCAAATATTTCAACGTTTATTTGAACATTTCATTCGTTGTTTTTTGCGTCTTTTGACATCAGTGACGATGGTTTTCTTTTGTGAGGCTGCACAGTGCTGGGCTCATGATTCCAAGCGTAAGAACCCTGAAAAATGGGGGTGGATGAAGGCCGTGACTTGGGATGGGACTCTATACCGGAAGTTGTAGTGACGACCCGAGAGAGTGAAAATTACCTCGTCTCGCGAATTTCGAGATTTTCGTACCTATTTAGGGTAGCGAGAATTCATTTTCATTGATACCTGTAGGCAATACAGCCTATTGGTTGCCATAGCAGTATTTTTTATATTTCTAATTGGGTAATTATGCTTTATAACAACCTTTTAGGCATTAGTAATTTTTTCATCTGAACTTTCAAAACTTGATATCCTTTAATGGTCCATCTACTTGTTGTCTTCTATACACCTGACCATCACTTGTATTATTTATTTATTTGTTTGCAAGAAGTAGTTCAGAATCTCATAGTTTACTAGGTAGTACCGATGTGTGAGAAGGAACTTTGCGTAGAATTCATGTACAGTTCAAGCAGTAAGTAGACTAAGTACCCATAACACATTACAGTATTCAGAAGCTGGTGCAGTTCCATCTAAAGTGATTTACAAATGCACCATCACACCTGAAGAATTTTTTTTTGTTTGTTATAAAGTGGAAATAAAAAAAAGAAAGAAGGTGTACCAATTGACAATATTTGTGATGCCTTTTGTACCCTGTTCTGACTTCTGCATGGCAGACAGCTTGATTGAGTACCGGTATTAGCCCCAGCAAACAATTACACACATGCTTGCACAATGATGTTTTTTCAAGAATTATCTGTACGATGAAAAGGATCCTGATTTGGAAGAAGAAAAAAACATTAACTCGAACTATGGTGTGAACTAGTGTAGGAACTGTTTAAATCACTCACAAGTTTTGCTTTCTGTAGTTTAAACTTTAAATAAAGATTTTACTTCATAATTCTCGTTCAATAATGCCCGCGCATGCGCAGATCATTTTTTTAAGCAATCGTGGCTACTGTTGGAAATAGTCCTGAAGAAAATAGAAGCTGACGAGAACTGTCTTGAGTTGACCTTTTATGATAAAGGGAAGGAGAGGTGGGCATACTCTTCCCTCTAATTACTCATAACATAATGATCAAACTTTGAAAGTAATTTCTTGTTTAATCTTACTATTATACATTTATATGTGTGATTTTAAGAAATTTGAAGTAAAGTTCATTATTGGTTTTGTTGTGAATTCCTCAATCTGCAAAGCCCATAGTTTAAATAAAGTATTGGGAAGTTTTCTAGTGAGCCAGTATAATCATGGTTTTTACATATTTAAGCTCAAGACAATTCAGATGGTCAATATACATGTGAATATTGCATAATTCTGCCAGTTTGTTATGATTTGATTAACTGATGTTTTATTAATGAAACACCTTATTTTCTTTGAATACAGGTCTATGGAACTTGATCTTCCTGTTTTCCAATTTGTGTCTTTTTGTGCTTCTGCCATTTGCATACTTTTTCACGGAATCTGAGGGATTTCCAGGCTCTAAAAAGGTAATCCATTTTGCTTGTTAAGAAATTATTCGCCATCAAACATGTTTGCATGTAAATTAAAAGTATTAAACCAGAACAGAATTTGAGCAGTTAAAATATGTACTATCGCTCTATGAAGAGGCTAAGTCTTTTTAATCAGATATTCCTTCACTAGGGAGCATCAATTTACATGACCATTTTTCAACAACAAAAAGGTATACATAGGAAGAGAAAAGAAGTCATGAAATTTTGCAGTTGCCAATAGAAATTTTAGGGGGGAGGGACGGAGGGGATGACACCCCACCGCTTCTTCCAACAAAGTGTATTTAAGCTTACACTGTTTGACCATTTCATTCATTTATGTTGCTCATCATGGGTGATGCCGGTTGATTGTTGTTTTACCTGACTGCTTAGTAAGCATGTATATGCTTGTAAGTATTAAAGCAGCCAGGTGACAGGCGGTTTTAAGTCCTCTCCGAAGGACTTGGTAATGAAGATTATTGCCTGTACCCGGGACCCCTGGTTACAAGACCACTGCTCTATCACTGAGCCATTGCGCCTCCTCAATTGTGATGCTATCAACCCCTTTAAACGCATGTAAGGAATCTCATCCTATCAGTAAGATATATATGCCAAGTCAACAAACACAGGCTGGTCAAGTGTTGTGGTTCAAGCATTGTTGTGGGGTGTTTGAAAGTACAAGTAGAAAGGTCGAAAGGTCATTAGCAGTGTCCTACATCTTGAACTGCTGAGAGACTCGTCACCATCAAGACTCGATCTACATGTAGCTTCTGTTCTCTATGAATCCTTTATCGTCCATGTTTCTAGAAGAAAGAATTACAGCTCTTAAAGAGAGATATGTGATGGTTATTTTACCTGACTGCTTAGAAAGCAAAAATGCTTGTAAGTAAGCAATCACACGGCCGATGGCTGTAGGTCCTCTCCGAGGGACCTGGTAGTGAGGAGTAATGCCTTACCAAAGGACATGACAAGAACATGTCACTGATAATAATAATAATAATAATATTTAGCTTTTATATACAATGTCTCTAAGCGCTTTACAAATATACTAAAACACTGGTACATGTTAATGATGTCAAATAGAGAGGGAAAAAATGAAAGAATGGAAACAAGAAAGAGAGATGGAAATGAGAAGACCATCCTGGCCATGCTGCCCAGTCTGTTTTAACATATGTGAGAGAGGCGCCTCGCCAAACCAAAGGAATGTGTTTCCAAATTAATCTAAGTGGCCTGCGTGACACTGGTCAATCATTGCTCCAACACAATAAATAGTATTACCACATCTTAGAGTAATAAAGAGTGTAGTAGAGATTGCGCTGCATGAAATGATTGGAATGATTGCTCTCTGTTGCTTCCAGCTGAGGAGCAGAAGGGGTATTCTTAATATATCATGATCATTATCAACAACATCAACAGCAGCAGAGCTCAGTATCATAGTGCAGGAAACTTAGAGTCAATTGATATTGATTTACAAATGTATGTCGCATGCTAGCTACTTTGTAACTTTCTATGCAGCCCATAAAGGGATAACTAAGAATATCTCTTCTTACTACAGGTACTGACATATATATATACATGTTCATGTTTATTCAATTCAATTCAATTCAATTTCGGTTTTATTACGAATATACCAAATAAAAAGTCCAAAGACTAACAATAATTGGCTTACAATGTATCATATAAAAATGCATTAAAAACAGTAGATTTAAAAATTCAGTAATAAGTTAAAGTACATTGCTCACATTGTATCATATAAAAATGCATTAAAAACAGTTGAATTAAAAATTCAGTAATAACTTAAAGGTAAAGACCAGTTATGGTCATGCGATTGCATTGTGAAATAAACATTGTGGAATCGATCAGAAAAGGTTGATCATCTAGCATCTAGCATCTGCAAGGTTCTGGAATCATCAAAATGATAAGAAATTTGGCCCATTCTTCGTAAAGTTACAAGCACTATACACAGAAAGATGTATATGGGACTACCCTATATCTCTCACAGACCATGAGAGAAACAAATTTACCAAATATATGAATTAGTAGGCAGTTTCCCGGCAAATTTTTTATCATCATGTATTAGTCAAAACATATTCTTTCACATGATTGGTAATGAGAGCTTCCATTTCATTTTTTGAAATTAGAGCGTTTCCAATACTGGTCTTTACCTTTAAAGTATGAAAAAAAAAAGAAGGATTGTAAGTTATAAAATGGTGATAATCAGTTTGTCAGTGAATTGAGAAGAGAGAAGAAATAAAGAGTGAAAAGTGGAAGAGAGGGAGAGGGAAAGGATAACGAGAGAAAAAAGAGTTCAATTCATGACAAAAAAATGTACACTGTAAGCAAATGAACGAGAATTGAGTTGATTCAGCTTAATGAAGCATTGTAAAAGTAAAATGCACATAATACGGAAATGTCAAATGATACATTAATACGAATGCCATTATGGGATTGTTGTTATACTGTTTAAAATTGGTGAATGTCAACGACCTATACATATTGGTGAACATTATTAATGAGTAATTATCACATTGTCAGAAAATTGAGAAGAGGAAATACAAGACAGAAATAGAGAAACAGTGGGAGAGGGGAGGAGGGAAAGGAGAAGGAGAGAAGAAAGAAGAAATAAAGAGTGAAAAGTGGAAGAGAGGTAGAGGGAAAGGATAACGAGAAAAAAGAGAGTTCAATTCATGACAAAAAAAATGTAAGCAATTGAACGAGAATTGAGTTGATTCAGCTTAATGAAGCATTGTAAAAGTAAAATGCACATAATACGGAAATGTCAAATGATACATGAATACGAATGCCATTATGGAATTGTTATTATACTGTTTAAAATTGGTGAATGTCAATGACCTATACATATCGGTGAACATTATTAATGAGTAATTATCACATTGTCAGAAAATTGAGAAGAGGAAATACAAGACAGAAATAGAGAAACAGTGGGAGAGGGGAGGAGGGAAAGGAGAAGGAGAGAGAAAGAGCTAGAGAAAGGGAGGAAGAGCGAGAGAGAGAGAGAGAGAGACGGAGAAAGGGAGAGAATTAAAAAAATAACAATACATAAAACAGATCTAACAAGATTTCAGTTGATCGAATTTAGCAAACGAACAAGAGAGGGAACTGCCGATTGTTTGTAACGCTGGGTTCTACAACGTGGAAGGGACAAATGATCGGAGTTTCTTAAACTGCGGCAAGTAGTCACATGGCGCGGTTGTGGCAGGAGATGGCGGTGTCTTTGAGATCATTATATCTTATTGATTTTGTTGTATTTCTGTCTGAGACCTTGGGAAAGGGTTGTATATTGATTTGTGGGTTTAACAATGTGAAAGTCGAACTTGCCTGAAGAAAAAGATAACCTGCATTCAGAAATTTGAAAAGTCTACCAAAAAGAAAATTGTACCGTAATTAAAAACAAGTGTGAAAATCTATTTCATAATACATATAATATACAGCAGGGTTGTGTGAGAGCTACATTACAATGTACAGACCTTCTGAGGTTGTTTTGTATGGAAAGATATCTTTGTACACTTTGCCCATTACCAAGAGGATGCACACAATAACAATTGATTAAGGAATAGATCCTGATCTATGTAGTTGATGCCTTTAATGATTGATCTTTTAGAATGCCAATGAGGAGATGAGACAGAACTTGCCAAATAGGGCTACATTGTAAACAATGATTGTCCACAAGGGAAACTCATCAAGTCTAGTGGACATACATGTACTGTAGGTTTCATCCGGGTTAAACATTTGGCCCTTGATGCATCATGTTAAAAACATTTCTTCCATTCGACAAATAACTGGGAATTGTCATTTGGTTAAATGCTTAAGATGTGACGTTACCATGACAGCGAGACAAGGCCTGTCATGGGAGTTGGTGAACAATGGCTTGTGGAATAACAATTCTGACATTGTGGATTAGTGTTTGCTTTTGCACCTTTGGGGGCGAAAGGAGATCGAAGTATTTGCGCTGTAGAGGGGAATCAAATTCAAAACTTCAAGATATGAGGGTAAGAAGGGGTAAACAAATCTCTGACTGTTAATGCTGAAAATATGTTTGTATTTTTTTATGTTCTTGTGTTGTTGGGTGTTGTTGTTGTTGTTGTTGTTGTTGTTTTTTGGGGGGGGAACAGTTCCTAATGCCACCCCTGAGAAGGGGGGGGGGGGTGGAGAGTAGAAAGAGGTTTGGAAGCATAGTATGTACAATAGTACATGTATTTACAGCAGGGACATGGTTACAGGGTGAATATATATGAGAGGAATTATAAGCAAATAGTTGATGACACATCCACGTGTCTATCTTCACCTTCCATTGCAAGTAATCCTGTGATGATTCCACTCGTAACAGCCATCCATGTTTTCTTCCCTTTAGCGTGTGTGCTTGATAGTTTAGTTTCATAACATCGATGTTGAGATGGTATTCAGTAAGATTAATCATTTAGCAAGTTAAGTTACATCAGAGACCTGGCTAGCTACATTTGCAATCTTATTTTATGATCTTCTGTGGAAAATACCTGTAGCTTATACGTGCTACAGTCAAACCTGCTTTAGTGACCGCCTGTCTACAAAGGCCACATTGGTTGTTTCCCTTGAAAATGGCTTCTCATTGAATCATGTACTAAAGGAACCTGTCTACAAAGGCCACTTTTTGTGTTTCCCTTGGGCGGTCGCTATAGACAGGTTTGACTGTACTATGAGGGGTCCATTTAAGATCTTCCTCTAGATCTCTTTTTGTTGATTACTGAAGACACACTTTGGTAAAGTGCCAATATTATTTGACATTGAGAGCAAACTACAACAAATCAAACACCCATGTCTAAGTGACCTACTGCTTTCAGTAATCTTTGTTATGAAATAAAAGACATTTATTCTGTTTACATGATGTAATCCGGGGATGGGTTTGAGTTTGGCACACAATGAAATCCATTGTCCTACAGGGAATAATGGACGCTTCAATAACGTGCTCTTGACACAGGATTTGAACAGAACTATTGGCAAAGTACCAGGTCAAATGCATCAATTGGAAATTAAAGGAGATCACATGCACAGGTAGACTTTAAGTATGGTTGCGAGTCTCTAGGTCACTCCTTTAGGTGGGTGATTAATGAAACAAAAACAGCAAACATTCGTTGCGAATTGTGCCTGCATTGTGTAGAATATTTTTCGCATTTTGTTCATTAGTGTTTGGTTGTTTGTTGATATTGTTCTTCTTCATAAACTGTCTGTTTTGGGTATTATATGTATGACAGAGAAGTGTTCTTGCAAGTGAAGCAGGTTAACTGGATTTTCAAAGTGATTTTAATCATGAAGTACCAGATGACCTCATGAATAGATTCAATCTGTCTGATCAACCAATGTATTTTTCTCACTACTGTTATTGCAATTACCTGTCGGCCCATATGTAGGGATTGATGTTAGAGGGTGATGCTGTTGAACCTTATTTTTTTCTACTGCATTTTATCTACCTGATATTATTATTACTTATACAGCGCTTTTCCCATAGGGCCCAAATCGCTTACAGTACATAAAAATAAAAATTACATAAATACATAATAAGAAAAAAATCTTACAACTACAAACTGCAAAAAGATGTGTTTTTAAGGCCTTTGTGAAGGTAATAACTGATGGAGACTGCCTAATTCTAAGTGGTAGATCATTCCAGTATTTTGAAGCAGATACAGTAAACGACTAAATGTCCTTTCACCGGCTAATGTGCGGGTAACTGAATATATGTGTGTGAGACAGAGAGGATCGCTGGCTGACCTCAATGCATAGGCTAGTGGCACTGAACTACTCACCTTGTGCAGAGCTGAAGAGAAAATATACCCCTGACTAATTCTGATTGGATTTTACTCTTTTTTCTTTTTCTTTCTTTCTTTACCAGGGCATCAGAGGACGTGTGTATGAGACATTCATGGTGTTACTAATGCTGAGTATTTTAGTCTTTGGTCTCGTATGGGTGTTTAGTGCATTACTGGATGATACAGACTCCAGCAGGGAAACATTACAGAGTAAGTATAAAACCCTTTTCATATTAGGGGTAGAAGAGGGGGTAAATCCGGATCAAGTGTGGACTTATTTACAAACCCATATGCTAATTTAAAACGCTAATTAAAAATATTAATTTAAAATGCTATCAGTGTCAGCATTTCTCAATATGCATTTGATGCAGACTTCTCGAACCAATTTTGAGATTAGGATTGAGTCCGTATTTAGTCCGAACCGGAAGTGGGTGCTGACCATTCTGTGTAGTATGAACGCGATCTGCATTGAGCAGTGCGGATAGCGATATCTCTTCATGGGCTTGCAGATATGTTTTATGACAGGGTGACAGGAAATAATCAGCAGACAGCATGGGATTACCAGGTATGAAATTGTGCGCAACCATGGAATGCGCATTGATGTGATGCACTCTAGCATGAGTTTAGTTCCGGGTCAAGTGGGTAGCTATCGCTCCGATCTAAGTCCATACTGGATTCTCTCAAGGATTGAATATCGAAAGGGTATAAGAAAGGCTGGTAGATATTGTTTATCTAACAATTTTTGCCCATGGAGCCTTCTGTATTTTCATATTTGCCTAGTTGCACGAATGGGTCAGTGTCAGTCAATAAGTCAGTGGCCTTGATTAAACATATTGCTGGCATCCAACAAGCCCTGCTTTCTAGAGATGCAAAGAGATAAGATCACAAGATCTATTTCTTTCATTTCTCAATTTTATTTTTATTTTTGTAAAAGTTTTGTACCGGTATATCGTATTTTGTATTTTGTAGATCATCTGTATCTAAATATATGATACAAGAAACCCAGAATTTATCATCTTTTGTTTGTTTTTGTTGTAAAATCTGTTTTTTACTTATCATGTGTCTGTTAGGAAATGTTGATGTAATGAAAATATTTTGCATTAATTGTATTTCTTGGTCAAGTACAATGTTGACAAGGCAATTCAATACATGTTAATCACTCAATAGTTGTCCAATTTCTTGCTTTACTATCAGATTTGAGTACCCTTCGCTTTATAGCAAGACTTTAATGCAGTATGTTAAACTATCTGCATTAGCATAAATTAATGGGGAAATGAAGATTGGATGAAATCAATCAGACACTGTAAATTTTTAAGTAACTCAGGGTTCATGAGAAGGCTAAAACAGCATTTTTTAATCATGTTCTCTGCTGCCATCTTTTCCTGTTGGCATACCATCAATTATTTATCAATTATATCAGGAATGTAATTTCCTCCCTCATGTAATGAATGCCGATATTGATCAGATGTGATAGATCTGACAAACATGCAGTCGACCAACTCATCCTTTACACAATGTTTATCATGACACAGCCACACCACCCTACCTTACCCTCTTTCATTCACTATCAACTTGTTTTGGTTTTATTAAAGGTATACAAAGTTTTGGTATGGGGTCATGAATTGGTTCAAATTAACATATTGGAAGCATATATGCGATCCTATAATATTCAGTAATCGTTGTCGCGATTGAAATCGAGTCTAAAGTTATGAAATTGTAAATAATAAAGTCTTTATTTTGTATAGCTCTCCGTCAAGGTCAAGATATTAATTAAGCTATAAAACAATGTTACTTGACTAAATTCGACCGATTAGTTATTCTCGTTTGGAAATTATCACAACTACATATCCTGAGATTTTCATGGTCGCAGCTACCACTGTATGGCCATAGGTGCTATTTAAAATTTATAAAAATTTACCGGGAGCACCAGTAAATATTTATATTTAATTTTCTCGAAAGCAGAAGTGTTTTCGGGGCTAAAGTTTCTAGTGCTTATAATGCATCCACAGGGGCATCCAAATATATCAAAATTGTAAAGAATCACTATCCACCCAATTTTCAAAATTTCCCAAAACTTTGTATTACCTTTAACCCTGTTTGACATGTGACTCTGAGACTGATACATAGGATCACATGGGAAGAGTTGTTATTGTAGTCGAATCAAGGGAGAACTTTGGGTAGAAGATCACTTTCATGACCTATTTTATATCGACCTACATTATTTTGTTGCCTGTCCTGTTATTCATTTTATTTCCATTACATTGGGAAATTGACAGAAGCTGGCAAAGTGAACATTATATCATTCATTGTAAAAGGCTTCTCATTTGTCTCAAAGCAAAAAGGTGATCATTATGAAAGTCAGGAAATGATATTTCCTTTTATGATTGTTAGCTCGACTTTAATAATGAAAGTGCAACCAGAGTTACCTAGTACCTTGATAATATAGAAGAGAAGAGTTGGAACTGAACTACATTTGTTTTTTTCATTTGTCAAGTTTAGATGTCATTGTTTTTTTTCTGAATAGCTTCATTTGAAGGTGAAGGTTTGTTCTATGGAGTTTGTTCTTTCAAAGTTTTGTCATCAAGATGGTATCGTCACAAATTTTAAACTGAAATTAAAGACTGATTTATATTTTATTGGTTATTTCTAGGTTACTTGCAATCAATTACTTTGATGTCTTAACACTATGAACATGATGGACAAAGAAAACGGACAAAATATACAGTTCCTCATTCTACCCTCACAATTGCTGTGGTAGACAAAGGAACATCCCTTCGCTGCTATTATTAGTATTATGTAAAAATGTGTAGAACAGGTGAATATGCATGTGACACCTGTTCTACAGATTTTCCATAATAGCAGTGAAGGGATGTTCCTTTGTCTACCATAGCAATTGTTGAGGGTAGAATGAGGAACTGTATATTTTGTCCGCTTTCTTTGTCCGCTTTCTTTGTCCGTCATGTTCATAGTGTAACCTGTGTTTGGATATGAAGTGTTTTAAGTTACAAATGCAGAAGTTTGGTAGTACTTGAATGAAAGACAGCTACATGTATAAACTAGCATTAAGTTCCGTAAAGATTAGTTGATACTGTAGATATCAAATTATCTTTCATTTCTAATAATATGTAGTCATATTCATTTATGTCAAGTTATGTCATTTTTTCTCTTCCTTTAATCCACAGGAGTGTCAACATCATATATTCCATATCTGTATTCATGCATGGCACTGTTGGGAGTTCTCATGTTACTCAGTAAGTATGCCGTGACACAAGGTTTGTGATTGTAATTAAAGCCGGGTAATCCAATTCTTTCATTGACAGATGGTAGAGCAGAAAGAAATCACATCACCTCAAATAGGGTGCTCTGTTAGATCATATCCTCAAGAAAGACGATTTAAAACCAGTCTGTACTAGTTTGGCCAGGGGATTAGACCTCCCTCCAAGGTCACTGACAGGTGGTTATCTCATCAAATCGGCTCTCAATTAACATAACAAAAAGGGGATCATGGGGGACCAACAGGCACCGATTAGCCATAGTTTGCTATATAGAGGGCTCTAGTAGCTATAAGTAGAACAGTGGGGCTTTAAGCAAATGAATTGGTGATAATAGGGCAGTCAGGAATATGGATCAATTCTCATTTTTGGAGTATTGTACACGAGCTTGTCTAACTAACAACAATTTTAGGAAAATCTTAATGTTACATATCAAAACTTCTCAATGGCCGAGTTGCCATTTACAACTACTAGGAAAAAGTGCCATTAGTATATCAAATACATTTTAGATTAGATTGAATTGGATTTTGATAGAGCTGTTTGTTGCTGTTTAATAATTGATAATTATACAAACCTTTTGAATTATATGTACAGTATGTACAATCATTTTCTTATTATATGCACTTGTCTGTGATTCTGATTGTTATTTTATTGAAGGAATAGACCTGTAGGCTCCAGGTGTACATTTATAGTGATGTTTAATAGTACAATGCTTTTTAATATACAGTTGTGTGCAAAATCATCAGTTCAAGTGTTATAAAGAAAAGAGTGTTGCTTCTCAATAAGAAAATAATATAACTTCAGACTAACTTGTATTCCTGTGTGTATGTCTATTTCAGTTTCAACACCTTTAGGCTTTGCCCGATTATTCTCTGTTATTGGAAAACTGGTTGTGAAACCACAATTCATGGAAAACATTGATGAGGAGTTTCACACAGCGAAGTTTGAGGAAGAAGATATTCTAAGAAAAATACAAGGTAAGATGAATTACCATCTGATCTATCACTGCTTACCTGCTTAATACAGGTTTTCAAAGCATAAATATTCTTGGGTTTTAATTTATGCACAGAATTTAAGTCATAATAAGCACATTACACATACCGGTATGTCATAATAATAATTTGTGAAAATGCCACGGTTTAAGGCATCTGTTGTATAATAACGTTTTATTTACCCAGGGTAGCCACTTCAGTTATGAAACTGCTCTTCCAGCATGCCCTGCATAACATAATATGTTATTACTACCCTTCTCCAATCTAATATGCTGAGCGCCTAGCTAGAAGGCAGAAGGTCCCATTGTTATAAGTCTTTGGTATGACTCGGCCGGGGTTCGAACTCATGACTTTCATGAGGCGGGCGCTCTAACCACTGAGCCACCATGCCCGTTTGTATAAATGTGAACAAAATTTGTGGTCTGAGGCAAACTAGTAGACCAGGCTGAATGGCAGTTTCAGTAAAAGCAGCAACAGAATGCAACAAGTAAGGAGTTGTATAAGCAAAACAAATGAATTAAAGTTGGGGAGGTGGCAGAGAGAGGGGGATAGCGATGGGGAGACACACACACACACACACATTAACTAAAGAGAGTGATGAGAGAGGGAGAGAGAAAGAAGAAGAAGAAAGAGAGACACGAAAAGAGAGAAAGTCCAACATGAGCAAAGACCAAATTATAAAGGAACTGAAACACGTATAAATATTTCAATCGACATATCTGTGAAAAAAAAAAATTGAAATGTGTAGATACTAGATAGAGTTATGTACCTTTTGCTCTATGGATACAATCTGTTTGTAATCTTAGCTTTCTGTGTTTGTTTTTTCTCGATCAATAAAATAATAAATGAGGTCAAGACTGGAGTCAGAAACCACGCTCTTAAACACTGACATTGTGGATTTATGATTTGAGAACAATTGGTGGGAATGCAAACAGAGCTCAAGTACAAAGAGCAAGCCTTGATTCTTCTCAGAGTCACCTTCAGTGTATGACAGAGCTTCAACATTTTCATCCAATATTGATTTTGTTTTTGTTTTTGTTGTATGTACTTGGAGGTTTAGCTCATTGTCATTACTTAGTTTTCTTATTCAACACTTTGTTTGCTGTCTTTGCCTCTCTGCATGGCTGCTCATTTACCACACATGCAATTTCGTCCAAAACAACAGGCACCGATGAAAGGAAGGCAACACACTGGCTTTGCAAAATTACCCATTTCCAAATTTTTCCATTTTGGATTACCTTCATGACAACCCTTTTAATTTAACACCAGTATAGATTAATCTTGCACTTCAAATTTCTATGATCTTGAAGCCTGTGGTATATCTATACCATGATAAGTACAATGTGGCACAGAGAAATTATTTGTATGAAGAGTTAAATATGGTAATGTAATCTCTATGGACGTTCATGGCAGATTTATAAGATGGATTATCACAGAATCCTCTTTATAATGATAATGTGTAATTTGGAGAAAAAATTGTTGTGTCACTGTAGCTCTTCTTTATATAGAGTTATTCTTGTATTGTTTTTTTTTACATCCACCTGTTAATGTTAATTACTTTATATGTAGTGAGCCATAACTTTGCTCCAAAACCAAAACTAATCTATTCTGTTCATTTGTCATTTCATAGTCCACAAATCAATCATGATTTATTATTAGTTTATAATCAGTGGATTCTCCTTAGTGAGTATTATGGTTTCGCTTTTTGTAAAAGGGAAGTACACAATAGTTAATGGCGGCATTGCAGAACTTGAAATAATTTCATTCATCATAGACGTTAAAAGATGGGAGTTGTTGCTACCTCGTTTGGCGTTCAACAATAAGGGATAGAGCAATGTCGATCTGGCGCTGCTCAGTGGCTGCCGGGCTCACGATCAATTGGGCAAAAAGAATTTCCGTTTCGGTTTAATAAAATTTGGAGTGGACTATTAGGCTATTATTATTATTATTATTTGCTTCTGATGTTCATGCTACAAAACCAAAGGTATTCATGCTTGCTCCTTTTTTTAAATCCAATACCTACGTGTTTGAAAACAGGGTAATAAGTCAATATGATCAGAGTGCAGGATTGCTAAATTCTATTTGTCAAATAAAAAATAAAAAAAGAGAAAACATCTGATGAATGGATTTTAAGTGCTTCAAAAATATATATACATGCACATGACACTCCTATTACAGGTACATTGTTGATGACCGATTCACGTGAGAGGCTCTGTCCAATCAAGCTTTGGTTTCCTGTTTCCTTATTGTGACCCTCAAATTAAGCAAACTTTTATTTCTGTCAGTATCAAACTCTTGGGTTACATCACATGGTATGACTTCATGACTTCGGACTAATGTAGGGTTAGCAGATATTGTACTTCTGATACCAAATATTTGCAGATCTGAAAGTTTAGGCCTGCCCTGCTTTGCCTAGATTTTCTGATTTCCTGTAAGCTTTGATTATTAATGTCAAGATTATGCTGAAGCATTAGATATATTGACTCAGTTCCAGAATAGCACAGAAAGTAAAATTTGCATTTCTCATTACCCTTATTTACTCGCTATAAAGTCAAGAACATGAAGGAAAATTTTAATGGCAAAGTGATCATGACTCATGACATCAAGAAAAATGAGTGTCACATTTGTTGATTCTTTTATCTGTGATATGACTATAATTATAGGTACTTATGAATAACTTCATTCTTTGATTGCGATAGCGTTTGTGCTGATAAATATTTTGTACTTCCTAATTCTCACAGTGGACCAAGAATTAGCTAATGGTCATCTATCACAGCTGCGAGAGCGTCTCTCGGATGTGACTCGCGAGCGTAAGATCCTGGAGCGGAGGCGGAGAGCTTCCTTCTTCCAGCGTATCGTTGGTTATCCACTGGTCTGGATTCTGCTCTTCCTCCTCACTGTTCTCTCTCTGTGCATGGTGGGATGGAATGTGGTGAGATTACTCTTTGGGATTGGAGCCTTGCCAGTCAACATCACGGTGAGTACCTCTACCTTCATGACTGACTGACAGACATGTCATAGCATGGTCACTAAGACTTTCAAGAAATCAATTGCAAGGTGATTCAAATGAACCTTTAAGCTGCATTTTTAGAAATGATGTCCAGGGGGGGGGGGGGGGGGGTGTTTCACAAAGACTAAGATCGACTTTAAGTTGGACTTGAACTATGGCAGGCCATCCGTGCCACTGGTTGCTCTCACCATTCCTGGCATTGATCTCTCAAGGGACGTTCAAATCGTGGTCATAAATCTACAGAATTTACATTTTTTGATTGTTCATTATTGAAGGAAAAAGTATTATCTAAAGATCATAATTGAGAGTTTAACGGTGAGAGCAACCAGTGGTATGAATGGCCTGCCATAGTAAAGTCCAACTTAAAGTCGATCTTAATCTTTGTGGAACAATCCCCTGTTTATGTCATTATTGCGCAGATCAATATTTGATGTGCTTGGTAATTGAATTGCCTGAAATTTAACTTCCTGAAAGTCTTTGTGATTATGTATTGTCTTGTTACTAATGTTCTTCTAAAGTACATATCACATTATGATATAATACCCCTATGCACTTCCGAGTCCAAAGAACTGTGGAATAAACCATTTCACTGGCTTTAGCTCCGGCAACTGTTATCAGGGCACTGTGCATTTCAAGGAAAAATTCTACTAGGCATCCATTTTAATACCACACTTGGGTAAAAGCATGACAAATATAGATTAATGTCTTGCTAAATACAATGTTAGTGTTGTCGGAGGGAATGTAACCCTGCACAAGAAGTCACCAAAAGTCTAGTGTCTTATCCACTCAACCCATGAATATATTGAAATGGTAATTTACCTTGAAGCACAATTCAATGATTGTTGCTTGTTACTGGTAGAAAATTTGTCACTGTACATTTCCTGACTTGAGAGAACTAGTCGTATCATTTTGTTCTTCTGTTTGCAGGAGGCTGGCCTAGGGAAGGTGTCACTCTCGAGGTTGGGTGCTTTTGGTGCATTGCTTGAAGTCTGTCTAATTTTGTATCCTTTTACACATTGCTTATCATAGGACTGCTGTTTGTATGGAGTATTAAAATGCTTGCAAAATTGCCCTTATACAATCTAATTATGCCAATTGAGGGGGGGGGGGGGCTCTTTGGGTTAGTGGAGAAAGGTAATAAATTTGAAATATCCTTGATATACTTTAAGTCTAGTACCAGTAGTAGCAATAGGATGGCATCACACAATTTTTTTCTTCTATTAAATCAGGAAGATATTTCAGTTGTCAGCAGTCTATAAAAGGTTGTTTTACATAAATTTGTCGAACAACACACACAACGGTCCAGAGTTGTTCATTGATTGAAAAATGTGGATCTCTATGAATCTAATTCACAATTTGTATCACCAGTAAATTCATGAATTCATTAATTAATTAATAATCATCCATTAGTTTGTGTGATGTTTACCCAGAAATTTCTTGAAGGACAAGGGGACAGAATATGCTCCACCCCCTCCTTCCTCTGCTGGTTGGATGGTTTGTTTGTTAGAACTGACTGCTAAAAAAGCATGGGTATGCTTGTAAGTAAGCGACCAAAGGATCAACGGCTTTTAAGTCCTCTCTGAGGGACTTGGTAATGAGGATTAATGCCTTACCAAAGGGCGCTAGCACATCGACTTGGTTTTGAACCCGGTACCTCCCAGTTACATGACCACTGCTCTACCACAGTGCCTCCTTTTTCTAGGGTTAAAACTAAGATTTTGATAGTGATTTGTACATATACCTGCAAATCTTGTTGCAGTTGGGCCATGTAATCCATCTTTAGCCATAGGTCTGTCGGATCCTAGTTACCCGTGTACTTAACTTTAGTTAACTGGTGAGAGGGGACATTCCTTTGAATTAGTCTGACGTATATACTGCATTGACCATGCTGGGATGTTAATAGAACACAGTACATGTTGTGGCCATGTGTGAGAGGTTTTCATAATGTTGTTAATAGAGCTGCTTCTTTCCAGTTCCACCTGCCCTCCCTACATACTAAATGTAAGATTATTTTTGAGTAAAGGAAGAAAGATCTAAAAATCTGTGCAACTGCCCTTTCCATGATATATAATAATAACAATGATAATATTCAGTTCTTGTATAGCGCACATCACATTTAAACCTCTCTATGACTGTGGAGTAAGATGTTTAAGATAGCTTAGCGTAATGTATTGGCACAAAAAGACACGTCCAGAATGCACAAAATGTATAATTGATGAAAATAATCATTTTATCACACAAAAAATATAACTTAGAAGCACATTGTTACAATATAGAGTTGGTACATGCGTGCACATACCATCCTGGTGAGGCTAAATGTTAGCTAAACTTTCACTCAGATTTGTCAATAAAAAACTTTTGATTTAATAACAAACATCATTAAGTATTGTGCATTTTGCATTCAGGATGCGTCTTTCGTTCCACTACATTTTGTTATTTAAAGCTACCTAATAAACAGAAAATTAAGCCTTTTGCAAAATTGTTGATACATCTCTTGTAGTTTGAATCCTTGACTTGATTCTAGTTACCTAATGCTTGCCTCTATGGTTGGTCTGTATGCAATGCCCGTCTTCAGAAGACTGGTTCCTAAGAGGAGAGATACACCCATGACTAAACTCATTGCTAACTGCCTTGTAGTACTCATCTTGAGCTCAGCACTGCCAGTCTTATCCAAAATGCTCGGTAAGTATCCCGTGAAAAGTGTTCCAAATTGACAGCGTAGTCAAATATTTTGTACCACCTGAAGAGGGAAACAATGAACAAATGCTTTAACCCTGTGGCCCCAATTCACAAAGGAGGTTAACACTTAACCCATGGTTTAAACTTTCATTTACATAACCCATGGTTTAAAATTAGAGCGTAGTAAGCGCAACACAGTCAGAGGTCCAACATTAGACGAGCGCAAGGCAAGCCTATGGGTAATTTGCTCTAATTTTAAACCATGGGTTATGTAAAGGAAGGTTTAAACCATGGATTAAATGTAAACCTCCTTTGTAATTTTGGGCCTCTGTGTTTGGAACTATGTCGGGTCGGGTCAAAGTACACGATCAACACCGAATATGGAAAATCTCAAATTTTGGATATATATATTAGAGGAAAAAATAAAGCGTATGCATACTTGTAGTCTCATATTGAACGTTTTCCTAAGAACACAAAATTGATGAAGATTTGAGACACATTATGTAGAAGGAATTCTAAAGAAGTACTGCCTATCAACAATAGAAAACTCTGATATAAATGAGATGACAAACCTTCTGTGTGTGACTTGTGAACTACAAAAACATGATATACTTCCAAAATTTGATGTCTGCTGGACTCGAACAGTTCATTGATTGGATCCATCCAAATGACATCTGAATGTAATGTTGAGAGTTGGAAGAAGTCACATAACTCCTTTTTCTTTTTCACATAACTTATATTCCTGCAGGAATCACAAATTTTGACCTACTTGGTGAGTATGGCAGATTAAACTCACTCCACAATTTTTACATGGTGTTGGCCTACAACGCAACGTTTGGCGTAGCGACTTCGTCTTGCCTCGTCAACAAGTTCACAGCATCGGTACGGAATTACATCGTAAACAACGTGCGAGTCTATGTCTACAAGATGCGCAGGACAACAAAACTGAGGCCGGCATGGAACGCGGTTAATGTCGTTGCAACGGCAAATGGGACTGCGACAGGGAGCAAGAATGACTGAATAAAAAAAAAACTTCAGATATCCATCCTGTGTACATCCGTTCTACAGTACATACTTCTTGCAAGTATATCAAGACCAGCTTGCAGAGGTCAGAGGTTATAGGTCAAGACTGTGTAGACCGCTTAACGGGTGTTGCGCCAGCCACCGTAGAGACTGTGCTTCATGAAGGATCACCATTCACCCTGCATGTAGCAGCAAGTGATGTTCATTCAAAGGCTGAAAACAGAAAAAGACTGTCACAACCATAGCTGCATCTGTCTGTGTTTTGGTTTGATTGTGTTATTATCTTCAATGTGTGTGATTTTGATGAAGTTTGTGATCATTATTTTTGCCAAAGGTATGTCTTTATCGATTTGATTTGATTAGGATAGGTGCTGTGGACATAATACAGCTATACAGATTTGTACTTCCTGTTGACATGTTTAGTTCAATTCAATAAGTTAACATTGATAACCTATGTCAGAAAATTACTTTAAAATATAAGATTTAATGATGAATGGTATGCATTTTACAGTTTTACAATTTTACCATTTCACTATTGTTTAATTTGTCACATTAATATTTGTGTTCCTATTATTGTTAAACAAGGAATTGACAATGTCACGGCTTCTTTATTGTCCAGTGTATCTGCATCTAATCTATATTTACACACATAGTTTGATTAGTTTATGCATTTGGTCATAATTTTAATGGAGGACTTTTCAGCTTGAATAGGGGTCAAGTATATAATTTTAAATTTAAAAGAAACTGCACAATCAAAAGAAAAAGGGGATGAGTCCAGAATTTGACTGGCTAAGTATCAGCCCTATCTTGCCATTATAATTTGTCCTAAAGACTATATTATCAATAGTGATGTGGAAAGGTGGAAGGTATTGGAATGAAAATCAAATATTCATTGTTCAAAATTTGTTTCTGGGAAGGGCCAGTTCTGATATTTAGATGATATTTTGTGGTACAGATGTAGCATTCAGTCAGTGCTCGTACTTTTACAAAATTCAGTTTTTTTTAAATACATGAAGGACCAATGAACATGGATAATCATTGTGATACGTGTTTGTAGCATTCACAATAAAGCTGCTTTTATATGTTAAACAAGTTATTTGTACATCAAAGGTTTATACTTTTGGTCTTGGTTACCTTTCTGAGAGTTAAAATCACTCTTGTTTATAGTCACATGCTGCTTGTACAGTAACTCTTCTGGAAATCTATTTGAGTGTCAAAGTGAGTTTAGCCACAAGTTTTCTATCGTTTGCTTTTGATGACAAATGTACTATATTTGGTCTATCTCTCTGTTGCATATTTATGTGGAATATAACTTGAGGACCACTTTCATACATACCGATATTACATTTTTTGTGTTTTGGAGTATACTGGTAGTGACCACAGTGCGGTGAATTCTGAATATTTGTCAGTCATTATGATCAATGCCAGAACTAATTAAGCGCATTCCATCGTTTAGATCATCCTTATGCAAACAATCAATTGAAGAGTGAGTAAAACATTAAAATGCTGCTTGAGTTTGCTGCTACTTTGTTGTTTGCATGGCAGAAGGGCTTTAACACTGTAACATGGTCTGCTGAGATCCAGAAGGGTACCAACTTGCGGTAAAAAGATATCAATCAATGTCCTTCTGGCACTAAGCAGCCAGCATAAAGAATTCCAAAGCTAATACCCTTCTTCTGTGCACACAGTGGTGTATCAAAACACTGATTTGTGTGATGGTGGTTATGTTCAACTGCAAGCTATGTACAAGGGCCGCGTTTCATAAAGCTTGCTATCAATAACAAGTTACTATAACTGCTACGAGCAACTAAAATTGTTGCATTTCCTTGACAAATTTGTTATTGAAATTTTAGCATTTGTTAGTTGTTACTGATATCAAGTTTTAAGGAACAGGGCACTGACTTGCAAATTTGTAAGGAATATCCATGTCAAGATAGATTTAAAGTTGCTTAATCTGAGTTTGAGCCCATCTGTTAGGAAAGCATCATCTTCTCAGGTAAAATGAAGATCAGTTCTCAGAGATTTGTTTATTTTCTACAAAATGTAATTCAGTCACAGTCCAATATGTTATGATTTGTGTTCATGACATGTTTAGTGATACTTGAATGGAACTTCTTTGATTATTTGTTCCAGCATTGACTTGTAGATTTATGTTAATCTTTCTTCCTAGTTCCCATACTTTTTCAGACTCACCTGGGCTCAATAGCTCTTATACTACCTTCTGTCAAAAGAAAAGACAATAACAGACCAATCATTTGAATACTAATAAGGATGCTTAGTAGGTTTCTGTTGTTTTGACTGACTGCCAAAATTCATGTGCATCATTCCACTATAAGAAATTGTATCACCTTGATATCAGGTCAATTTTTCTTTTTTGACCTTTTGAAGTTTGCTATAGTATAATTTTATCAAGAAAATCGATCAGGAATAATAGAAGGCAAAGCAATGGTATAATTTTCCTTCTTTCAGCTTTCTTTTGCCCACCAAATAAGCTTGAGGTGTCCTATGAATTTGATTCTTTTATCACCTGTGTTTGAAACGTGTGCAAGACAAATGTGCCAATATAGGGTCTCGGATGGTGAAATATTGTGATATCGCCTTTTACAATTGTTGTCATATCCTTATCAGTATTATGTTTCCTATTGCTCGTTTTGAATCAGATGATGACTATTTGTAGAAGCACACGGCAGTTTAATTCTTGTTAATTTCCATTCTTTGATTGATGTAGATTGTAGAGCTCATTATAAATAGTGGTTAATTTTAATGAATCATCACTATGTTGTCTGAAATATAAATAGTGGCAGGCTTATGGTTTGTATTCTGTTTATTTGCTTTTGTTTTTTCTGTACCTTACTTTATTCTGTAGTGCAAATTTTGCTATTCTGTCTTAGTTTAACTGTACAACTCAATATTACTACACTGGAGATACATATTACGAAATGTTAGAGAGAAAAACATTTAGTAGATATAATAGCTAAGTCATATTGAAATATTTTGCATGATATCTCATGTGTGTGTGTCTCTCTCTCTCTCCTTCATTGAATGCCTGTTTTTTGTTTTCCATGGGCATCGCGAGACTATTTTATGTCAGACCAAATTCCCCAATGATTTTGGCAGAAATGTATTCCAACTAGTAAAGAAAAAGGTTTATCATCTTATGCAATTACCCTCCGAAAAGGGACCCAAAATAGAATTTTGCCGACTAGAATTTTGAATCGGGGGATTCAGGGTTGTCATACCCCTATGATACTCATGGTTGCACAAGACAAAGTTTCAATTCAAACTCAAGGTGATTTCCTAATTCCTATTTTTTTACTGAAAAATTGACAATCTATAAGTAGATATAAGGCACACATCACAAAGTCTTTGTAATCAGTACTTTTTAATCTTTAAAGTACTCTGAGATGTGAGTAGCTGTAGATCATTTCCTCTTTTTAGATTTAACATGTTACTTATATCATAGCTACATTGTAGATAATAAAATTCCATTGTTTGTCTGGCAGAAGTTGATAATATCCAGTAATTATATAATTTCTTTTAAATCTTTTTTACAATGTGGACAATTTTTGGACTGAACTGTGTTGCATGTCTGTCATCAAAGAATGCCTTTTTTTCCTGAAATGAACATAGGTTATCCATGCATCCATATGCTCCATGGGTGTCGATCCGTAACTGATACCTATTCATCAGGGGGGGATGATCTATTCATTCATCCCCCCCTGATGAATAGGTATTACGTAAGTATCAACACCCATGATATGCTCCCTTCTGCTGGGCATACAATGACAAAGTCTGTTGAAGCCATAAGGACCTTAACTCAATCTTTAACACAGAGTTAATGCTCTTCTTGCTCTGAACAGACATTATGTTCCTCTACTGCCAATGTGATTGAACTGTGTAGTTGTGCTTCTATTTGTGACTTGAATTCTACAGATTCTATTAGTGTTCTATATACTATACTTATGATTGTTTGTTTATTCATTAATTTGTTTATTCATTACAAAATATATGCATGTATATCTTATTTATCTCCTAATTATTTATCAATCATATCTAATGTCTGTGAAATTATACCACCACTTTTGAAAATCGGACAAAATAAGAAGTGTGGAAAGATTTTTAAAAAGCTTGTTTCCGATGTAAGAAAATGCATTTTCACATGAGCCGAAAGAAGTTATTTGACATTTCTCTGCCGTGAATTATATCTCATCTGTTAAAAGAACTTGGTGTAAAAACCATATTACAATAAGCAAAATTCAAGTGGTGTTCATATTACAACATCGTCATTGACCAACTCTGGTATATTACCTCTGCCTAATGTGTTGTATAAATCTATAACAAATTGATTTCAGATTTATGCAATATTCGTTGTGATGGGAGGTTAAAGAGAAAGTTGAGTTCTGGGAAGAGGTGTAAAATAATTTGTGAGCATTATTCATTCTAATTATGCAAGTGTGGAAGAACATCAGTTAAGACATGGTCCCTGAAAAGCATGGCTCTTCAAATGCCTTCATATTCTAAATATACATGTAACATCGTAAAAATCGGGGGGCCGGCTTTTTACGCCACGTGTTCGTGTAGTCCCATATACATCTTTCTGTGTACCAGTGTTTGTAACTTTACCAAGACTTGGCCAAATTTCTTATCATTTTGATGATTCCAGAACCTTGCAATACAAACAAATTCTATTATGCTAGATGATCAACCTTTTCTGATCGGTTCCACACCGTTTCTGTCACAATGCAATCCCATGACCAGAACTCAACTTCATCTTTAAGTACAAACACACTTTCTATATAGCCTATAAATCATATCATAGCTTGAGATTTTTGTACAGCATATCTTCAATATCTCTATTTAAATGCCTTTCTCCCTCCCAATGAAAATGGACCCATTCACACGTACAACAATGAACAATCTATGACCGAGATCAAAACGTGTACTGTACATAAGTTTGTCACACTTCACTGCCCTATTCAGTGTGAGTGTGACACATTTTGTTGTCTGTGTTCTTTGTACCTACTTCTTGCATTTCTTACTGTTTTTGAAATAGGCATGTCTTGCAATAAAAGCGTCCTCTCTTTAAAAAAACCTATTACTTTTATGTCTTATTTCGTAGTTGATTTGTGTTGATTTACTAATTAGATTATGCAAGTAGAAGAAAAGATGATGAAAATATGCTTACACTGTATGTCACCTTTTCATTATTGAATGACATATTTCTTCACTTCTTTTTAGACGGCAACAACATTGATAGCTTAAAGGGATCCGGTAACTTTGTCTTAGATTCTGAAACAAAATTCTGGATTTAGCTCATGATACAATGATAATTATAAACCTTTAGGTCAGTCAGGAACCCCATGACTTTTAAAAGCCGATCGCCTGCCTGATTATCAAGATATTTATGATTGGAATTACAAATTTTGAAAACCGTTCGCCTGACGGTTTTCATAACACTACAGTCTATTGGGGAAAACGAGTATGGTAAAACCGATCACTCAAAGATTTTTACTTTTTTGAGGCACTTCTTGATCATTTCGAAGCGCAATTTTTTTAGGGCTTCAATATTACACCATATCACAGACATTGATAACACGTAGGGCCGTGTATCTCAGATTTAACATTGTTACACGATCCCTTTAAATGCAGCTGGAGATGCTTTCCTTCACCATAATGCTAGAAAGCTCTACCAGCATAAAAACAATAAAGGACATATTATGTAAATGTGAATGAATAATACAAACATTTTGCAACAATGCTCCTTCAGTGACAATTTAACGAAATGTATGAAAGGAAAGCATAAGATTCCAACCTCCACTATATCCTTTTATAGCGCACAACATTGAGCTTTCAAGGACACGTATGTGTACTGTAAACCCCCGATTTGGCCATCAATACTGACTGAAATATTATCTAAATTGAATCTGTTCTTTACCTGAACTTTTACTTTGATTAAAAAGGATGTGTTATCACAAAGCCTTTCCATGCGTTTCCAGTTGGAAATTTAGTTCTATAACCAAACCACACCACTCTCTCTCTCTCTCTCTCTCTCCTCTATACTAGTACTCCCCTCTTCATCCATTTCTCTCATAGACAGTTTTTATCCAATGCTATCTCTCTCCTCTCCTCTCCTTTTTCCATTGGTGCACATCAATAGCATTATCAAGGATACATGTGCAAGCTAGCTACCAACTATGTGAACAGGATGGATGCACATTATCTCACCTGTCTAATTAATTGTACATGCTTTCCACTTAGCATTTCTAGTTGGGCATATAAATCATTCATCATAACTCTGGTTGGTTGCCTAGAGCATTCTGTTTTAGTTGCAATAGGTATCTCAATATAAATTAATGCAATCCATCTAGTACTCAATAACTTTATGATCGCCTGTCTACTGCCTCATATTACGCGTGGCAACACCACACAAGAATTGATACGACTGCTTTTGAAAGGCAAGTGCACAATAATGCCACATTTTAATGAGTTGCAATAGTACATATGATTCATGTTTTCAGATTCAGAAGCTACACAAATCATAAGAGAACAATGGAATTTCAAAGCAATTAAGTGACTGGTAATGCAGTACACATATAACAAGAAAGTCTTGTGCTTTCATCTAACACATTTAGTACTTCGTAACATGTCAACAACCATTAACATTACAGAAACACTTCAGGAACTTTACAGATACCCCCCCCCCCCCATGACACAACAGATGGACATAAATCTCCCTTGAAGGTATGTTAATATTACAGTGGGGGGGGGGGGGGCGTGTGATGAAATTGAAAAATTCAAAAGAAGAAAAAAGGGGAGACATCCAGCAACTGTTTGACATTAAAATGTCAAAATCTGTCAAGTAATTTCACAAGACGCATTAGAAACCAAAGAAATACAAACAAGGGGCAACTCCCTCAGCCTGCATGTATCTTTATCTTTCCACTAAGCTTTTCAGGCAGTTTTTAGATTAATGCCCACAAACCAACTATTTGACTTATGCACACACACAAACAAAATAATACTGTACCTTTAATCTAACAATTTAGAAAAGTACATACATGATGGAATACACACAATAAACCTCAAAGCTCTCCATTTTCCATATGGTTAATTTTTTTCCATTTTTTTTGTTATAGCTCTCCCGAGTTACATGTACCTACTGTACATTAGTCTAAGCTGGTGTGTATTATCTGAATTGCATGTACAGAGAAGAGGGGGAGGAAAGAGAGAAAGAGAGAGAAAGGGAAGAGAATTAGGGAGAGAAAGTGAGGGTGTGTGTGTGTGCATGTGAGTGTACGTGTATGGAGAAAGAGGGGAAGAGAGCAACAAAAAAAGAGAGAAAGAGAGACCCCTCTCTTTCACACATGCACACAAATACCCTGTTTGTGTACATATGTGTGTGTGAGAGAGAGAGAGAGAGAGAGAGAGAGAGAGAGAGAGAGAGAGACATAAAAGGAAAAGAGGAAATACAATTTTCACCAGATTGAAGAAGAAAAAAAAACGTTTTAGAAATCTATACTTTTTCAAATGAACACAGGAGTAGGTAAATATAAACATAAGCACCAAAATGACAAGGGTAATATGTGCAGAATCAAAATAGAACCAGAATTTTCATTTTGCATATGTCAGAGGTAATAATTCCACTGGCACTTAAATCCTTCCATATAAGGAGAAAACAAATCTTGAACTAAAATTACATGCACTAAGATATTCTTTACTCATCTTGATCTGTATGTACTAACTGAATGGGTACAATGGGATAGTAAACAAAATTTTAACAAATCTCATATTTTCTAGTCCTCCATATCATATCTTAATCCTGAAACATCTTTTTTTTAGTATACATACAAATTCTGTCAAAGAATCTTTGCAGGTATCTAGTCCATATTTTGAAGATTCTCTTGAAAATGTACCTCTAAGCAATGATCAAAGAGTGATATCTTTGAAATTTACTTTTAGTGCTTCAGTGAGATTTATTACACTAATATCAGCAGATGTGATCTAAAATGGATTACAAAGTATACAAAACATACAAAATGCTTACTGTAGTGTAGATTACATCATGACAGTGGCCAAGAAGTATAATTTATGTTTTTACTCTTTTTTTCTCTCCATGAATATCCTAATTGCAGCTCCATTGACCAAACATAGAAATAACTTTAACATTAAACCATATACAGAAAACCAAAGATATTTGAACAATATAAAAAGGCAAAGTTCCCAAATCACAACGAACAAATGGTAATTAATTCAACAAAGGCCAAACTGCTACTTACAGCTGTCATAAATTCTGGTTTTGACTACCGTAACTGGATACAGCTTGGTTGAGTCCGACAGTACTGATTGACACTAGTCCATATTTTAATGCACCTAATATGTAGAACAATATGACATATCCCCTGGGAACGTACATGCTCTCTATGACGTGTGCAGCAGCTACAGTTAAGAGAGTTGCAGTCAGTTTCTTTGCAAACTGCCCCCTCACCCGATCATACTTCACCGTCAAGCAACTGCACATCATTCCAGCGAAGAAGAACGCACCAACGTCCCTGGAAATAGCATAGAAGAGCGTGGTGTCCATGTGAACCCATTCCCGATACACACAGCGTTTTAAAGCAAGTTTCATAGACCAGCCAGGATCAAGACCAACGAGACTTATCAGGTAGTATTCTAAGAAGATTGAAACAAGGACGAACAATCCTCCTAGAAAGTAGGAACCAAATCCATAGTTTTCCACAGATAATTTTCTGGTCTCTGCTGCCACTATTATTCCTGAGTACAAAGACAAGATATAAGAGAATGGTAGGGAGTGAGCAGCACTGCTGAAATGATTTAGACAGAAACAAACATTAAAACGGTAACGTTAAATGTCATCACAAAGCAAACATAAGGACAAGTCATTGTTTTATGTCTCCACAAAGCTGGTTGCGTTGGCATAAGGGACATCTGTGCAAGCATGAATGAAAAGTTTTCGTTCCGTGCAAGAAGAGTGTGTTAAAGCAGATAACATAGTTTTCAGAATACGGCCTCTGTATAAACTTAATTGATAGAAGAAACTCCAATATCTATGATAAATGATCAGCTAACAAGGTAAAAAAATAATATCTCTCAAGACAAAGATCAAATGGCTAACCATAAAATACATTTCCAATTTGTCATAAAAGATGATAAACTTCGTTCATATATAATTCATGAGAATATATTTGGTCTATTCTTTCTGTGTCTTTTTTTTTTTTTTTTTTTTTTTGGGGGGGGGGGGTATACTAATTACCATGATCATTTGATGTCTGTTTTCCCCAGTGTGCAGATGGATGTTTAATTTACATCATGTCCTTTCTCTACTGAAGCCTTCCTGTCGTCAGCATACACCCATTACAAGTGAGGCTGGATACTATCATATCTTCTTCTCTAATGGTTTTTTCTAACTACCCTAAGGACTGCTTTGAACTAATTAACTTACCAGTTAATGCACCCAGGATAACTTGATGAGGGAAGTGAGTTGCAGTGTAGACCCTGGAAACACACACAAGCACTATAAAAAGGCTATAGATTGTCCAGGTGATCCTGGTCGCTTTCTTGGCACGTTGGACACTCCTCACCTCAGACATGATGTATTCATTGAGGGATGCCACAAAGACAAACCAAACAGATGCTGCGACCATAGCATGGCCTGAAGGACAACCTACAGAGAAAGAAGAGCAAACATGGTGGTCTACAACTAGGAAATGTTTTTTTGTTTTTTTATTAATAAAATTTTGCACATAATATAAAAGACTTAAAGGTATGAAACCACAATGAGACTGTAATGACTCTACGGTATATAATTTGGCAAATAGCAATATGCCTCAACTACTTGCTTACAGTAATTTTGAATTTGGAAGATACTAGGCCATGTGTGGGATCAATGGTTGACCTGACTTACTTGACATTTGACTCAAAGACCCCACAATATCAAAATGTTCATTTCCATTTAGATGATTTGTTAGGTTTGAAGTTGATCCTTAAAGGTAATACAAAGTTTTGGTAAATTTTGAAAATTGGGTGGATACTGATTCTTTACAATTTTGATATATTTGTCTGCCCCTGTGGATGTATCATAAGCACTAGAAAATTTAGCCCCTAAAACACTTCTGCTTCCGAGAAAAATGAAATATAAAAATTTACCGGTGCTCCCGGTAAATTTTGATAAATTTAAAATAGCGCCTACGGCCTTACAATAGTACTTGCGACCGTAAAAAATCTCAGAAGATGTAGTTGTGATATATAATTTCCAAACGGGAATAGCGAATTGGTCAATTTTAGTCAAGAAACATTGTTTTATAGCTTAATTAATATCTTGACCTTGAGAGGGAGCTATACAACATAAAGAGTTTATTATTTACAATTTCATAACTTTAGACACGATTTCAACCGCAACAACAATCACTAAATATTAAAGGATCGCATCTGCTTCCAATATGTTCATTTGAACCAAACTCATAACCCCATACCAAAACTTTGTATTACCTTTAAACAAGACAAAATTAATCCTTAGATAATAACATTTGCTTAAAGGGACTTGGTAGTTGGTAACATTGTTCAGATGAGAGATAGTGGTGCTAAGGTAGTGACTTCAATACTAGATGTACAATTAAAGATAATCTGAAAATTTGAGTGAAAACGGACCATTATTCATGGTACAAATTGAGAAAAACTGATCTGATCGATTCCTTAATTCTCCCAACTATATTATTACAATTTAATTACATTTTAGGTGAATGGAAATCATCACAAAGCAATAAATAGCTCTACATTCCATTCCAGACATTTAAGTGTTGACAGATTTTTTATCACCTGTTTTATCCCTTTTTTTCATGAAAAAAACGGTTGGGAAAATTCAAAAATGGTTGGGAGAATTTACTGTTAATCACTGTTAGAGGGTGTCATACATGATCGACTCCTTCAAAGGAAACTATAGATATATCTTCGTGGTTTGACAATTTTTTCAGGATCTTTTGCATGTCAGAGGGTTAGTACAGTAGAAGGAATATACTAAGTAACATTTTATACAAAAATTAAGCATTTTTTTCATTAACCTTCAACAATGTTACCAAGTCACTTTAAAGACTGGTGTACCTTGCCCAACATCTTACAATAATCACAGCTGGTTTGGAGCACAGGGGGAAGACTTTTAATTGTTTCTTACTTTCCATTGTACGTTTTCACATACCGGTAGACCAAAAATTATGTCTCTTTCGTTTGTTAGCCTCTTATTTGGGTAGGGTCGGCTCCTCACTTTAGAAACATAAGCCTGTCATAGGGTCTGTTGTGCAAACTTTAAAGTTTGCACTAAAATTTAACTTTTAGTGGATGCATTAATACTCTCTGTAAGTTTATTTCCAATTATATTAGGCCTAGGCTAAAATACACACACATCTATTCCACTTACCAGCTTGACTGTATGGTAATGCGTTTAGTCGTTTAATGGTCCTTTTACAGGAAATTATGGGTAAAAATACAACTCCGTGTTGAAAACCTTGCAGCTGTATTTTAAACTGTTACTGCTCACAAAAAACGTCAAAAGATGAGGTCATACGTTAATTAGCAGTGACGGACAGTAGAATACGGCTGCAAGATTTTCAACACAGAGTTGTATTTTACTGTCTCTAAAGTGAGGAGCCGACCCGACCCTACCCAAATAAGAGGCTAACAAATGAAAGAGGTCTAGTTTTCACATACATGTACATCATCATTCAATCCTGTACTTCACACATCTCACCTGGTCCTGTTTCACAAGTTATCTTGAACTGTTTCAGGAATGGACGTTCTTCACCAGTGTAAACATTACTCTCCATGACCCACCAATAGGGACGCTGTCCTATCATCAACCTGCATTGTATGATAGTAAATATACACAAAGATATAAATATATGAAGACGCACGGAATTCACTAAATTCAGCTAACTGTCCTATCATCAACCTGCATTGTATGATTGTAAATATACACAAAGAAATAAATATATGAAGATGCGCGCACGGAATTCGCTAAATTCGGCAAACTGCGTGCGAGCGCTTTCGTATACTAAACTAATAGCTAAGTATTATCGTAAAGAATGTCTCAAATTGGCAACACAAAAACAGTTTTTTGATGTGTATAGTCTACCAAGTCTCCTTGCATTTCAGCCCGAAGCAACATAAGCCAACTCTTGTAAAATAAAATGTCAGCATTTTTGGTAATGTAAATCACAACTAAACTTAGATCTAGATCTATTATCATCAGGGACACATTTTGGAAGACAGTAGACCCTAAGTTAGAAATAATATCACTCCGGTATCAAATCTCATATTTTTTGTTAAATTCTTGACCAAATTTAAAAGTGCTTCGTACAAGAAGAAACTGAAGTAGTAAAGAGTACACTACTACACTCTGGAGCTAGTGTGCAATGTTCGTCGGGTGTCGGGACTCGGAGGAATTAGGACTCAGGAGGGTGATTTCAAACACAATTTAGGTTTTGTTTACCTGCCTCTCAATATGCAGCCTGCAGGGGTGAGGGGTATGGCCATGGGTGCCAATTAAGGTTATGGCCTGGGATATCAATATCAAGTTAAGTTAAGTTAAGGCTTACGCCCTTAACCCCTTAAGAAGTTAAGTTAATCAAGCCATGCCAAGGCTAAAAAGTAATTGATTTAAACCAACCTGAGCTAAAAATGAAATGTCTAGATCTACCATCTCACGAAATATATTCTCACTCCCTCACTCGGTCATTCTACAGGCTTTAATAATAAAGATGTTAGAATAAAAATTCCCAAATTAATATAGGATGAGCCAAGTTTGCATGCCATGCCATTCCTTAGAAAAATGGGTGAAGCTTTTCTTCACACACCTAATCGGAGATGAAGGTAGCCCATCCAATGTGTAAAAATTGCCAATTTGATAAGTGTAAGGATCGCATTGTACACGTACAACCGCTATACTACACACACGCAATATATTCTTTGTGTATTGTATCCATCAGGCATGATCAGTGCAACGATGGCTGGCTACCAATTAAAATAGTGGTCGGATATAATGAGAGTAGATGATGGAGGGGGGGGGGGTAAAGCGCAGTACTTAGGGGCAAATCAAAGAATTATACTAAGACCTCACCTCATTTATGTTAGAAATTAAAACGTTATTATCTTCTTTCGAATTGCAATATATCCCCGCACCATAATTATAAGCATGTCATGCATATATATGCCTTTTCTCCGCGAAAGGGGGCATTGACTCTTTAAATACCAAATCACATAAACTATTCACCATTATGTCACCGTCATTTTCTCTATGAATATAATTTTTCACGATCTCAACTTTTCACCACCCTATCGCCATGAACATTGTCTATGGATAAGCTGGAATATTAACTCTTCACCACCCTACGCTAACTTTTCACCACCCTAGCGCCATGTACATTGTCTATGAATAAGCTGGAATATTAACTCTTCACCACCCTACGCTAACTTTTCACCACCCTAGCGCCATGTACATTGTCTATGGATAAGCTGGAATATTAACTCTTCACCACCCTACGCTAACTTTTCACCACCCTAGCGCCATGTACATTGTCTATGGATAAGCTGGAATATTAACTCTTCACCACCCTACGCTAACTTTTCACCACCCTAGCGCCATGTACATTGTCTATGGATAAGCTGGAATATTAACTCTTCACCACCCTACGCTAACTTTTCACCACCCTAGCGCCATGTACATTGTCTATGGATAAGCTGGAATATTAACTCTTCACCACCCTACGCTAACTTTTCACCACCCTATCGCCATGTACATTGTCTATGGATAAGCTGGAATATTAACTCTTCACCACCCTACGCTAACTTTTCACCACCCGAGCGCCATGTACATTGTCTATGGATAAGCTGGAATATTAACTCTTCACCACGTACCCTACGCTAACTTTTCACCACCCTAGCGCCATGTACATTGTCTATGGATAAGCTGGAATATTAACTCTTCACCACCCTACGCTAACTTTTCACCACCCTACCGTCATGTACATTGTCTATGGATTATTAACTCTTCACCACCCTACGCTAACTTTTCACCACCCTTCCGTTATGTACATTGTCTATGGATAAGCTGGAACATTAACTCTTCACCACCCTACGCTAACTTTTCACCACCCTAGCGTCATGTACATTATCTATGGATAAGCTGGAATATTAACTCTTCACCACCCTACGCTAACTTTTCACCACCCTACCGTCATGTACATTGTCTATGGATAAATGGTAATATTAACTCTTCACCACCCTACGCTTACTTTTCACCACCCTAGCGCCATGTACAGTGTCTATGGATAAATGGTATATTAACTCTTCACCACCCTACGCTAACTTTTCACCACCCTATCGCCATGTACATTGTCTATGGATAAGCTGGAATATTAACTCTTCACCACCCTACGCTTACTTTTCACCACCCTACCGTCATGTACATTGTCTATGGACTCACTCTTCACCACCCTACGCTAACTTTTCACCACCCTAGCGCCATGTACATTGTCTATGGATAAGCTGGAATATTAACTCTTCACCACCCTACGCTAACTTTTCACCACCCTACGGTCATGTACTTTGTCTATGGATAACCTGGAATATTAATTTTTCACCACCCTACGCTAACTTTTCACCACCCTATAGCGCCATGTACATTGACTATGGATAAACTGGAATATTAATTTTTCACCATCCAATTACAATACAGTTTATTGAAGTTAAAACGGTATTATGTCCTATGTGCAGGCCAAAAATAATGACAAGGTTAAATTCCAACGTAATTTGAATGATAATAATAATTTAGAACTTCCCTCAAAACCAAAAGGTTTGAAAATGTCTTTTTGTGAGAAAATAATGATCATTAGTTGTCGAATTGAATTTAGCGAGCACGCTCGTTTAATTAGTCTGATTTTTACATAATAGACAAATGTACATTTAGTACAAATGTCATGTAGAGAGGCGCGGATCCGGGGGGGGGCGAGCGGGCCTTGCCCCCCCCCCCCGAAAAAAAAGGAGAGAAAGAAAAGGAAAAGAAGGGAAAGGGAAAGAGGAGAAAAAGGGAAAAAAGAGGAAGAACAAAAGAAAAGAGGGAAGAAGGAGATCGGGGGGGGGCAAAAGGAATTGCCTCCCAGGCTGCTGCCCCCTCCCCCAATCAAAAAATAAAAGAGAAGGAAGGAAAGGGAAAGAAAAAAAGGAAAAAATGAGATAAAGGGAAGGAAAAAAGAGGAAGAAGAAAAGAAAGAGAAGGGGGATATCAGTTGCAATTTTCCCGATCGGGGGGGGGGGGTGGAGGCAAAAGGCCCTTGCCTCCCCCCCCCCCCCCCCCCCCGTCCCCGTGTTAAAAAAAAAAGAGAAGGAAGGAAAGGAAAAGAGGAGAGCTAAAAGGGAACAAAAAAGAGGAAGAAGAAAAGAAAAGGGAGAAAAGAAGGGGAGATCAGTCAACAATGTGTGGAGCGGAGTGGGGCCAAAATGACCTTGCCCCCCCCCCCCCCAGGCAAATTTAAAGAGAGAAAAGGGAAGGGAAAGGGAAAGAGGAGAGAAAGGGAAAGAGCAAAAAGAGAATGAAGAAAGGTAAGGGATATCAGTTGTAATTTTCTCGTCAACAAGGTGTAAATCGAGGGGGGGGGGCACTGGCGTACTGATAGGGGAGGGGGGGGGGAGCTTTGGGGAAATAAAATCCAAACGTGGTTTATTTCTAATTCCATAACGGTGGTTTACAAATAATGCTGAAATGACATAATTTTCCGAGATTTTTCATCACTTTTAAGTAAACTGTACTTTTGTATGCGTTTGTTGGAAAATGACAAATTCCTAAATTTACAGCCAGGCAAGAAAATGCTTCTTGAGATGCCTACATGTCAGGGCCCGCGGAACGGCGGGGATCGGGATCCTCGAGCCTCCCCCCCCCCCCCCCCACTTTTTTTGAAAAAGTATATTAAAGAGAAATAGAAAGAAAGAGAGGAAGAAAGAAAAAATAGTTAACTGCCAGTGACACATTATAATGATGTATCAAATTATGCTCATCTGACCATGATCAAATTAAATGCCTAAAACCACGAGGGCTCAGCCCCCTGGATTCCACCTAGGGCCCTAAGGCGGGCCCTTAGATGCTCATCTGACAGTAATTAAACGCCTAAAACCCCTGAGCTTCCGGGGGCTCTGCCCCCTGACCCCAACGAAAAGCCTCAAGGCGGGCCCCTTGATACTCATCTGACCGTAATTGAGTGCCTAAAACCCTTGAGTTTCCGGGGGCTCCGCCCCCTGAACCCCACGCCAATTAGTGACCTGCAAATGTCACAATTAGGTATCAAAATAATGCTCATCTGACCGTAATTAAATGCCTAAAACCCCTGAACTTCCGGGGCAGACAAGGTATCAACATAAGTTCATCTGACTGCAGGCGCGTAGCCAGGGGGCGGTGGGGTGGTCCCCCCAAAAAACGCGTAGCGAGGGAGCGCGGGAGGGGGGAAACTGAATTCAGACGAAGAATATTTTAGAGAGCGGTACAACGAATCGTCTTCTTTCTCTAAAAATTAAATGAAACGTCGAAGCTTCCGCGCTTCGCACGGGAGGGGGAAAACTAAATTTAGACAAGGATTAAGAGTCGAGAACGGTACAACGAATCGTCTTCTTTCTCTAATGATTTAATGAAACGTAAAAGCTTCCGCGCTTCGCGCAGGAGGAAAAAAATAAATTCAGACGAGGATTATCTTCGAGAGCGGTACAACGAATTGTCTTCTTTCTCTAATGATTTAATGAAACGTAAAAGCTTCGCGCGGGAGGGGGGGGGGGGAACTGAATTTAGACGAAGATTAAGAGTCGATAACGGTACA